CCACTGCACCCATCCCCTAAAATACACACACACACACACATTTTTTTTTTTTTTTGAGATAGTCTTACTCTGTTGAGTGGGCTAGAGTGCCAGGGCCTCAGCCTAGATCACAACAACCTCAAACTCCTAGGTTCAAATAATCCTTCTGTCTCAGCCTCCTAAGTAGCTGGGACTATAGGCATTAAAATATTTCTTATAATATTTGTTACATTCTTTCCATACCTCCCTTCCCAGTCTTACTATCTGTAGTCTTTCTCATATCTCACTGTTGATTTTCTTCTAACCCTTAACCCCTCCTCTCCTTGTAGAGTATCTTCTAAATTTCCTCCAGAACAATCTTTGTGATAAGCACATACCTTTCATGTGGCATTCATCCACATAGTTAGGTAGTAGTTTCCCTTTGTCTATAAAACCTAACCTCTTAGTGTGTCAGTTTGGTACTTAATGATCTGAGCAGCATCTCCCCATCTACTCTTATTTCTGACTATTTATCTTTCCTGCTTTGTGCTTTTGGAATGCTGAATTGTATATAGTTCTGCAGAGACCACAATCTTGTTTTATTGCTTTGCCACATACTCTTTGTTTTCCATTACCTTTATCCACTTGGCAAAAACTATTCATCTTTCATGTCTTCATGTAAATGTCATCTCTTTGGTGAGGCTGTGTCCTTTAATCCCCTGGTAGACATAGGTTCTTTTTTTGGAGACTGAGTCTTATTCTGTTGCCCCAGGCTAGAGTGCTGTGGCATCATAGTTCACAGCAACCTCAAATTCCTGGGTTCAAGTGATCCACATGCCTCAGCCTGGGACTACAGGCACCTGCCATAATGCCTGGCTAATTTTTCTACTTTTGGTAGAGACTAAGTCTCACTCTTGCTCAGGCTGGTCTTGAACTCTTGAGCTCAAGTGATTCACCTGCCTCAGCCTTCCAGAGTAGTGGGATTACAGATGTGAGCCACCATGCTCAGCTGACATAGGTTCTTTTTGACTTGTACATTTTACACCAACTTCACTGTCTTCTAATTGCTGGCATTATAACTGGTTATGAATACCTTTCTTCCTGTATGCTGTTGAATGGACCATGTCTTTTCATCTTTATGCCTAGTGCTAACTAAACATGTTGCCTGGAATGTAGTTAATACATATATTGAATAAAAGAAAAAGACTATGTATTGTTCACTGAAAAGAAATTATAAGCTATTCTTCACTGATTTAACATTCTTTTTCTCATTTTGTTTTCTTTTGTTTTGCTTTCATATAGGCCTTCAGTCATATTAGGAGTAACCAATCCTTTTTTTGCTAAAACACTCCAGCACTGGCCACACATTATTCGAATAGGAGACCTTAAACCTGCAGGTAAATTATAAACTTGGTGTTCTGTTTTTAATGTGTCATGTTGCTGAGCAGGTGTATTTATTCTCCTTTGTTTTCATCATTTGGTTAGTTTTTTTTTTTTTT